TTTTTTTTTTTGTCTTTTTGAGACAGGATCTCACTATGGAGTTCAGGCTGGCCTTGAGCTCACTTTCTAGCCTAGGCTGGTCTCGAACTTGCAAGATCTTCCTGCCTCAGCCTCCTGAGTGCTGGGATTACAGGCGTGCACCACCACGCCTGGCTTCTTAGTATCTGTTTTGAGCAGGGTCTTATTAACTTGTTGAATTGCCCAGGTTGGGCTCAAACCTGTAGTCCTGCCTCAGCCACCCAGGGTATATCACTTTGCTTGGCTGGGTGCTCAGTTTTTGAACTGAGTTCAGGTGTGACCTGGGTCTTTCCCTGCTCACCTAGGCCCCTCTGAGCCTCAGTGTTCACATCTGTCACCTGGCTCAGGCAGACCATACCTTGTCCTGCACGCCTGCGAAGTCCAGCATCTGTTGGGTGATGGCACTGTAGTCGGGGTTGATCTCCATGGTGAGCAACCGCCCAGCAGGTGGCAGCAGGCGGGCTATACGCACAGCTGAGTAGCCACAGTAGGCCCCCAGTTCCAGCACCAGGGAGGGGCTGTGCTCCCGAATCACAGCATCCATGATCTCACCTGCGGGGTGTTTGGGGCGGGTGTGAGCACAGGTGGACAGAGGGGAGCTCAGCAGCTTCATCCTCTCTGCATCTAGCAGCAGCCCCTTTCCTCCCCATCCTTTCTACCCATTGCTGGAGAGGGTCTTTTTTTGTGGGGGGTGGGGCAGGGGTTGAGATGGTTTTAATACCTCAGGCTGACTTGGAAACCACTACTGTAAGCCCAGGCTGGTCTGGAACTCCAGTGACCCTCCTGCCTCAGCCCTGAGTGCTGGGATTACAGGCATGTGCCACCATGCCTGGCTGGGGAGGGTCTTTTGCCTACCCAAAGGCCCCAGCCCCAAGGACCTGGTCCCACTACACACACTCATGGAATTCCCATGGCACCCTGGGCCTCCATGCCTTTGTACATGCCAGTGCTTATCTTTTTCACCTTGTTGACTCCCTCAAGTGTTATGGGCTCCAAGGAGACTGGAAAGAGGGCTCGAAGTCTTGCCCCCAGGAGCCAAGTGTAGGGCAGGGGTGCAGCACAGCACATTTATGCCCAGGTCAGAGTCCACTGCCAGGGGCGGGCCCAGAGAACCTGCCTAACTGGTTCCCAGCCAGGTCCCATGATACAGATCAGGCAGAAGTCTAAGGGGAGCTGCACACCCTCATACCCAGTGAGCGTGAGGCCTAGTGGAACCCTTGAGGCAGGGTCTTGAGGCATCACCAGGGGCCAGTGTCCACAGAGATGTCCCTGGCAGGGACTTTTACAGAGCCTGATTCAAAACCCCAAGTCCCTGGACAGCGGCCTCAAGCACCAGGGACAAAATGTACAAAGCACGTTTTGTCAATTCTCCCTCTTTGCCCTGTGGGACCAGTCCTAGCAGAGCTCTGCAGTGGGTACCCAGGTCTCTGGACAGTCTCTGCCTGGCCTGTGGCTCAAGCTTCTGATAAGCCAAGCACTCCCACCAGAGCATGTCCCACACTTCCTAACTGCCCCTGGCAACAGCACTCTCTTGTAAGGTCTCTGCCGCCCTGCCCTGCCCTGCTCTGCCCCAGGTCACCCACCTTTGTTTTTGCCCAAGTTCATGGCCCATTCCTTCTGTGAGCAGTAAGTATCGATGGCCTCCAGCACACTCTGCGGGTCCCCAGGCTTGGCATGCTGTTGCACATGGCGCAGGATGCGCTGTTCCTTAGTGTCACCCATGACCAGGTTTCTGACGGGCTGCACAACAAGCTCGTACCAGAATATGAGTAACATGCCCCAGCCCCAGTGTCTTAGTAGCAGCAGGAAGGCCAGCAGTGCAATGCCCAATGAGGCAGCTGCCAACAGCAGAGGTGGGGCTCCCAGCATCTGTAGGGTAGGGGTGGAGCATAGAGTGAGAGAAACAAGGTAGGCAGGGTAAAAGGGAGTTTGGACAAAGGGAGAGAAGGGGTGGAATGAGAGAGGCTTAAGTAGTCCCGGCCTTTCCTGACTTCACCCTGTTCTCAGTTTGGAGGCCTGTCAGTACCTCCTTGTGCTCATGGAAGGCCACGGTTCAGAGAAGCTGGCTGCATGCCTGTTTCCTGACTGGGTGAGAACCAGGTGAGCCAGCCTCCCCAGGCCCTCCAGCACCTGTGGACAGAACAGGTGTATGTGTGCCACTGGTGGTTGTGCATTGAAGCCTGCAGGGGCACAGTGGATGCCAGTGGACAGAGTACCTGCCCTGGTGCTTTCCCAGTGACAGAGTTAAGGTCAGGCCATCTCAGAATGTGCTGGGTCAGCATAGGGTTACTTCAACTGGAAGAGGAAGTGCAGGCAGGCAGGTCGTGTGGTCTTGTTTTTTTGTTTGTTGTTTTTTGTTTTGTTTTGTTTTGAGACAGGGTCTTGCTATGCAGTTCAGGCTGGCCTTAAACTCACTTTCTATCTCAGGTGGGCCTCGAACTCACAGTGATCCTCCTGCCTCAGCCTCCTGAGTTTCAGCTAGGATTACAGGCATGAGCCACCATGCCCGGCTAGGTCATGTGGTCTTTCCCTACCCTCAGCAGGCTAGAAAGATTTCTTGAGAATAGTGTTCTCCTAGAACCAAGACAGAAAAATGGCCTGAATCATCAGAGACCTGGTCACCCAGGCCATGATGTGTTGGGAGTCGCTGAAGCTGGAAAGTAATTACACGCGCAGGACGAAGCCAGCCCAAGAACACGGGAGCTCTGAGAACACGGGAGCTCCTCGAAGCACGTAAACAAGCCGTTGTACCTTGTTAACTGATTGCTGGGCAGCGAGGTGGAGATTAACTAACCTCTTGAGGGTATAAATAAACGCTCTACTGTTCTTGGTCAGGGTTCCCCTTCCTCTGCTCAGGAGAGAGGCTCTTCACCTGATCGCAGCTTTTTGTCTCTTGCCTATGTTTTCCTCGTTCTCACCGCTGTTCCTTCCCGGGGTGCAGCAAGAACCCAATGGATCCCTACAATGATGAATTTGAATAAATAAATTTGAAGTAACCCTTATCTTTACTAGCTTTACTCCTGCCCAGTATATCTACAAGTGACGTCACTAGAATTTACAGCCCAGAGATTGTCCAGACATTTGTCTTAGTCCTTACAAAGTTATTATTCTTTGTCTAAAAAAGTATAAACAGATTTCACCATTTCTTCAGAGCTTATGATCGCATGAAAATCCCCAAGTGCATGTGCAATTAATGATATTTGCACTTTTTTTTTTTTTTCCTGGTCCTGGGGACTGAACCTAGGACCTTTACACTGAGCTACATCCCTAGCTCTTTTTTACTTTATATTTTGAGATGGGGTCTTGCTGTGTTGCTAAGTTGCATGGGGTGGGCTTGAACTTTCAGTCCTTCTGCCTTAGCCTTCCAGAGTGCTGAGATTATAGGCCTGTGCCACAGTACCCAGCTTTTCTCTTGTCCTTCAGCCCTGTATTATGGGCTTCCTAGAACCAGTCAGACAGCCCTCAGGGGAACTGTAGGAGATTATAGGCATCTCTCCTTCCCTTAAAGTCTGGGATGGGGGCTTCTCTGCCCTTGCTGAGGTAGGACATAGCTTTGGCCCTCAGACCCTCTAAATCCATACAAAAGGTCTAGGATGTAGCTCAGTAGGAAAGCACTTGCTTAGCAACGTATGAGGCCCTGGATGGTTCCCCAACACCAAAAGAAGCAAAGAACAAAACCCCACTGAGGGTGGGTGGCCAGGACCCAGTCAGATAGAAGCCAGGAGAACCTGGCTAGCATGGAGCAGAGTTCACAGTGCATAAAGCAGAAACCCATGATTCAGCCAGATTCCAAAATGGGAAAGGACACAAGACAGAGGAACTTGGAGGCTTCCACTAGGGGCCTTGTGGTCGCTCGAGACCCTCTTCTCCAGGGAGACCATTTGAGGGCAATCTTAGGACTCCCAGCCCCATGGTAGTTGGGAGAGAGAGGACACTCAGAAGTCAAAGCAGAAGATAAACAGGAGAATGAAGGCCCTGCTCCAGTAGGGGAAGTGTGGGCACCCAGACTTCTGGGGAGCCTAGGCCATGGGGCCTATTTACGGAGTGGATATGTGATCAGCAGGTCTGTGCACGTGTGCTCACACCCTGCTCTGCCCACTGGCATCTGTTGGCTCACTGATCTCTGGAGCTGCTTCCTAACCAGGCTCCTACCCTCTAGCTACAAGAAAGCTCTGGCCTCCATTTGTCTGAGCCCAGCAGCCAAGGGGAAAGAATTTGTGAAGGTTCAACTTTGCCTGTATCATTAATATAACCATAACCTAGGGAAAGGGACATGACCTGGAGTGGCTTCAACTAGGGACAGGGAACAGTCTCTCAGGTCTTCATGTCTGCACTGCCCTGTGGATTATAGTGGCTTCTGTGCCAGCACCTTTTGAAAAGCAAAAGAAAGGAACCACTTCGCTCAGGAGGGCCACTGACAAACTTGGCAGTGACACAGAGGACAAAAGGCTAATTACAAAGAACACATACAAATCAATAAGAGAGAGAAGATCCAAGAGAACAGTGGGCCACCGCGGCCAATGTGCAATGTACGGGCAAAGACTAAAAGGCTGTAGGCAGGCAGCCAAGGGAACCGGGTGCAGGTCTCCGAGTCAGTGTGAGGTGTCCTTGCCTGTGGTAGGCTCTGGGTCCTGCTCACCTCTGCAGGAGGGGGAATCATGCCACCTTCTTAGCTTGGTGTTGAGCTGCTAGAGCTCCAGGTCCTGCACGGTGGCAGGCAGAGCACCACGTCTCCTAGACATGGCGCTAGAGGAGATGGCAAGGGAGGTTAAGAACAGTCTCTTTGCTGGGAGGATGATGATAAGAAGGGAGAGGTAACATGGAGGACCTTTTTCCTAACACACACCTGTGTTGTTTTATTTATCTACTATCCTGTTTGTTTTTTTTTTGTATGGGGAATCGAACTCATGACCTTGCACTTGCCGGACAGGTGCTGTGCCGCTAAGCTATATCCGCGGCCTATCTACTATCCATTATTTTAATCTATTTATTATTACTAGAAATAGTATTTGATGTGATAATGAGCCATTTTGTTTTATTCTCTGTATTAAAAAAAAAGAGCCGGGGATATAGCTCAGCAGCACAAGCGCCTGCCTGGCAAGCACAAGGTCATGAGTTCGATTCCCGCTACCAAAAAAAAAAAAGGAAGGCAAGTAGGCATGGTGGCATGCACCTGTAAACCCAGCACTCTGGGAGGCTGAGGCAGGGGGATTGTAAATTTGAGTCTCACCTGGACAACTTACTGAGGCCCTATCTCAAAATTAAAAGTGAAAACAAAACAAAAAAAGCTTGGGGTATAATTCAGTGCAAAGGGCCTAGGTTCAATCCCTAGCACCACAAAAGAGGGGGCACTAGGGTGTAGCTCAGTGGCAGAGCACTTGCCTAACATCCCTGAAACTCTGAGTTAAATTCCCAGTACTACTAAACAAAAACCTAGAAACTGTTTCAAATAAATATCCAAGCCAGGTGTGGTGGTGCGCACCTGTAATCTGAGCACTTGGGAGGCTGAGGCAGGAGGACCGCTGTGCGTCCTAGGCCAGCCTGGGCTACACAGTGAGCTAAAGACCAGCCTGAATTACAGCGTGAGACCTTGTCTCAAAAAGCTAAATAAATAAGTAAATAAATATCCAAAGTAAAAAGGGATATTAAACAGCAGATTGCTTGCTAAGGTCCTCAACTGTAAATTTCAGTCCCCATAACATACGAATTGTGTAAGAATTTGGTGTAAATTTCTAACTGCTAGATCTAGCTATTCATAAATGTGCAGGGACCAAATCCTTCAGGGCCTGGTAGAAGGGAGCAGAAGAGAGGAGCCACACCTGCAGGCAGGGGTGCTGAAGCCCTACTTCTTCTCCTTAGGAGGGGACTGCTGCTAGGACAGACCAGGTATCTCCAAATAGGCTGGAGTGAACCACATGCCCACCAGCACCACCAGCACCACCTGTGCCCCATGCCCATGTCCCACCAAACCCTCCTCACCCTCCTGAGCAAGGAGCACAGGAACTTACTCAAGCCCAGTATCCCCAGCGGAGCTTCCCTGGTTGAAAGGTGGATTCCCAGCATGCCACCAGCCCCAGGCAGTGCCTGGGTAAAGAGCTTCACCTTCTACCTCCATCTCATCCCAGAGTCCTGGGATTCTCCTGTGAGTGTGAGGCACTGAGGCCCAGGGTAGAGGGCCTGGTTGCCATAGTCCACCAGCCAGCAGAGGCCGCTGCACACGCTGCCTCCTGAACGAAGGCCTTGCCCTCCTCCTTGTGGGGCTGCCCTGCGTGCAGGGTCCCGTGCTCCTGGACAGTCCTCCTCTGCTTTGCCCAGCTGTGGGGAGAAGAGGGGTAGGGGCCATCCCTGGACAGACGCTGTCCACAAACCGCCTAGGGTTTGGCACAATAGAAGAAATTACGAGTGAGGGAACTGGGGGGAAGGGGGCGCTAAAAACAGAGCCTAAAGAAAACCACGTGGGAACTGGTGAAAGGAACCATCAGAGCTGTGCAAGTGCTCCTCTCCTTGGATTCCTGCCCTTCTAACTTCCACAGAGAAACTGAACAGCTCCTCTCGCTTTGGGTCCCCTCCAGCCACAGCTCTGGGCTCACAACTCGGGCTCTATTGGGATTAACTGCTCATGAGCTCTGGGCATGCGTGGAAGGGCTGGGCCATGACAGGGGCCACCACAGAGAACACCTTTATATGCTGATCATGATTGCATGAAACATTAAGGAAGATACCAAGAAATGAAATGGAATAGAAGACTCAATATTGTTACGATGACAACACTACCCAGAACAACCTACTAGTTTAATGCAATCTCTGTGAAAAATCCCAAGGGCATTTTTTTTCAGAAATAGAGAAACCATCATAAAAAAACCCTATGAAACCATACCCATAGGCACACACCTATAATCCTAGCACTTGGGAGGCTGAGGCAGGAGAATCACTGTGAGTTCAAGGCCAACTTGGGCTACATAGTTCAAAACCTGCCTTAACTAGATAGCAAAAGCCTGTCTCAAAAAAAAAAAAAAAGAAATTCCTATGGAATCTCAAGGGACGCTGAATAGCCAATCTTGAAAAAGAAGAACAAAGTTGGAGGACTAAGTGAAATAAACACACAAACTTAAATACCAGATGGTTTCTCTTATATAAGAAATACAAAGTAAAAATAAATCAAAAAGAAAAATAAATATAGATAATAGGAGGCAGAGTGAGAGAGAGAGTGAGAGAGAGCTTCTGCAAATAAGAGGACCAAGAGATGGAGGGAGGGAGGAAGGAGGGGAGGGTAAGAGGACATAAAAAGAACTAAGATGTATTATGTACTTATACCAACTCCCCTTGAATGTAATTGTTATGTACTGCAAATAGGTACTAATGCAAATTTTTAAAAGTTGGAGGACTAACTTTTTTATTTAAAACTCACTACAGAGCTACAGTAATTAGAACAGTATGGTACTGGTATAAAGACAAATATACAAACCAGAGGAGTGGAATTGAGAGTCTAGAAATAAATCTTCATGTCTATGGTCAAATGATTTTTGACAAGTGTGCCAAGATACTCAGTGAAAAAGAAAATCTCTTCAACAAATGGTGTGAGGGCAACTGAATATCCACATGCAAAAGAATGAAGTTATCCCCTGCCTTACACTATATACAAAATATTTTAAAAGCAACACTAAAACCCCTTGAAGTGTACCAAAGACCTGACAATAAGAGCTAGAACTGCGAAGCATGGCAATGTATGCCTGTAATACCAGCACTCAGGAGGCTAAGGAAGGAAAATTGCTGCAAGTTCAAGGTCAGCCTGGGCTACATGGTGAGTTCAAGGCCAGCCTGAACTACATAGAGAGACCATCTCAAAAAAAAAAAAGCTACAACAACCAAAAAAATGTAAAGCTTGAAAGAAAATATAAAAGTAAAGTCAGTGATCTTGGATTTGGCAAAACATAGGAACCAAAGAAAAATAGGTTGGGC